TTTTAACGCGCGAGCGTTAAGAAATACACAACATCGGTAGCGTCGATTCGACGAATGCGAAGAATGAATGTCAGGGTTCAAACTGGAATCGAACAAAACCATTCTGCATGGTAATAAAGCATTTTATCACAGAGCTACGCCAGGTCTCAAAACAACACTTGAAATAGACGCGAATATTCGTGAAACGTCAACAGTGGTTGCAGGGCTGCCCACCCAATTTTATAAATAATACATAAATACTCTTTTAATACAGCCGTCACGTCGCGTAGCGTCTGTTGTGGTTAGTTGTCATGCGCTTAAGTTAATTTATGCAGCAGGGCCAGCATCCTCGCAAGCATCAGCGCTTCATATCAGCTTCTACTGGTGATACTACGTATGTTCTAGTTGGCATTGTTGCGCAAGTGCAAACAACTGGTTATATAAACATCTGACTCTCTTCAACATATGTATGTGCGCGCAACATTCGGACATATATTGAGCGTCAATTAGTGACGTGTCATTCAATAAAAATATATTTATTTATTAGCGATACCCTCAGGGCCAATGGCAATATAGAGGGTAGTGGGTACATTCATAAGAATAACAAAAAAGCAGCGAGAGAAAAACATATCAAATAAACATCTGACACAAAATTAGGCTAAACAAAAAGAAACGCAGCAAGCAAGCATAACTGTACAAAACAAGCAAAAAATTACAAATTGTTGACTATTGCATTTTTGAAAAGCGTGTGATTTACAATGGTTGCTGTAGGAGAGGGAAGGCGATTTCATTCTAATGACGTACGAGGAATAAATGATTCAGAAAAAGCAGCCATTCGTGTTGATGCGATACCGTCTTTGTGAGTATAATCAAGGCGAGAAGAAACGTACAATGGAGGCAAAATGAGTTCTTCACGCAGATGTTGGTGATAAAATATCTCGTGGTACAACGAAAGTCGGAAAATTTCTCAACAAACTTCTAGGTATTAAAGGTTAAGGGTAGATTTCATTGTTGTTACACTGGCGGTTCGGTTGTAGATAGACAAGATGAAACGGGCAGAAATGTTTTGTTCCATTTTAAGTGAGTTTATGAGATTTTTACATTAAGGATTCCAAATACGCGGAGCGTATTCTCATTTAGACGAATAAGTATTTTGTACAACAGTAGTTTAAGAGAAGATAGTGCCTTAGCAAAATTGCGCCTCAGGTAACCCAGCATGCGGTTTGCATTGTTAATAATATGTTCAATGTGAACGTTCCAGGCGAGGTTGCTAGAGATATTAACACCGAGATATTTAAATAAAGAAACAAAGTCTATGGTGATACTATCAAGGTAGTAAACAGGTAATGGGTTAATGTTTCTGGATACACGCACAAATTTACACTTGCTAACATTGAGTTCCATGCGCCACTTTAAGCACCAAACTGTTATAGAATTTATGTCAGTTTGGAGGGTGATAAGGTCATCGCCACAGACTATTTCTCGGTACACTACGCAATCGTCAGCAAATAAATTTATATTAAATGAAACGCACGACGTTAAATCATCAATATATATTAGGAAAAGCAGAGGGCCGAGAACCAAACCTTGTGGCACACCGGATTGAACGAAGGTATTATTACAATTGTGGTTGGTAATCGAAACGAACTGCGAGCGAGTAGTTAGAAAAATCTCAAGCCATGCAAGAAGTTTCGGTTCAATATTGAGCTGGCGTAACTTGTGTAGTAGTAGTTTATGGCACACCTTGTCAAATGCTTTTGAAAAGTCTAAATGAATGCAGGCAGCAGATGATGATCGATCAAGTATGGCATGAAGCTTATGTGTGAAAGATAGTAACTGTGTACATGGGTAACTTTTGCGAAAACCATGCTGTGATCGCGTAAAAAATGAATTTGATTCTAAGAAATTAACAAGGTGTGAAAAAAGAACATGCTCGAGGATTTTACAAAGGATGCTAGTAAGTGAAATGGGTCGGCAATTAAGGGGCGAGTTTTTGTTTCCTTATTTAGGAATCGAAATCATCTTCCCCACCATCCAGTCGGTAGGCAAACAACCGTCGTCAAGTGATTGCTAAAAGTTCTTTGTTAAAATTATGGATGAATAGGCGCAAGTGCTCTGCAATAATTCAGGGCTGATGTCGTCACAACCAGGAGTGGAAGAAACTTTGAATGTTTTAATTACTTAGCAATTCCGCTTGGTTCAATATTTATTGGAAGCATATCAATGTAGTTAAATGTTTCGAGAGGTGACATGCAGACGTTTTCAGAAAAATAAAAATTCCGCACAAAGCTTTTATTAAAAGTCTTAGCGCGCTCTCCCGAAGGAATTGTAGCACCGTCGGTGGCGGTTAGATAAACAATATTGTTATCACGAGGATTGATGGTGTGCCAAAACTTTTTAGTGTCAGTAACTAGCATAGTGGGCAATATAGTACGAAAAAAAGTTCTCTTTGGCTGACCTTAGAGCAGCAACACAGTTATCATTAGCCAGTTTGTAAGCCGCCCAACGCGTACCATTATTAGAAAGTTTAGCTGATTGGCACAAGCGTTTTTTTTTAGATAAGCGTTTAAGGTTCCTTGTATATCATGGTGCATTACAGCTGGAAAAGATAGAGTGAACAGGTATGTACTTCTCCGTGAGATTGCTAACTTTTTTAGTAAACATGTTCCAGTTATTTTCCACTGTTTGATTATCAAACTCGTTAAAAAAGGGGTCAAGAAATTTGCTTAGCTCGTTGTTAATTGCTTCGAAATTAGCACGGTTAGAGTTGCGGACAGGTTTACTTAATTTGTTGTTTTCGGACGCAATAAATATAGACTAAATGACAGTAAAAAATGATCGCTCAGACCTCGTAGATGTACGAGGTTAGAAACAAAATTAGGCATGGTTGTAAGTACTAGATCAAGAGTGTTAGCTGTACCGTTCATTATTCTTGTCGGTTCTTTGACTAACTGAGCTAGCGAAAAAAAAACATAGGTCTAGGAATTCTTGAGCAAACGTAGAGAAAGGAAAAATAGTAGGATGTTCACCAGCCGATTCAATAATCGGCATATTAAAATCACCCAACAGAAACAGAGGGGACGAAGGATAACGAGAAACAAGTATGTTTAACGCATCGTGTAGCTCACTTACAAAACTAGACGAGTCAGTAGGTGGGCGATAACAGGCGCGAAATGACAACTTTCGGGATCTTATTTCAACAAGGGCGCATACAACTTCGAGGTTAGTGCTAACATGCATGCTCTGGCATGACAAATCTTTCGAGATACCTAACAAAACGCCACCGCCTCGCCGTATCGTATGATCACATCGGTAGAACAAAAACAACTATGGTGTGGAATTTCGTGATCTTGAATGTATGAGTGCAACCACGTCTCAGTTAGTAGGATCACGGCCGCTGGATCAAAGCGCACAGGGTGCGGCCTGCTGCGTGCGCCCGAAACAGCGGGAGAGGCCGAGTTCATTCGCCTGCCACCGCGGCGCCACCGGTCAAGGAAAATGAAAAGCGGCGGAGTAGCGGTGCGCGCGCGAACTCCCGGGATGTTTTAACTCGCGACTCTTCGTGCTGCAAGCGGACACTTTGAATTTGATATCGTCTCAGTGCTTTGTTCCACCCTACTACGGGAACCATTCCCTTGTGACAAATGGTTTATCGCTACTAAGGGAGACGGAGTGGCCTCGACTAAGCCATCACGCCCCTGCGACAGTCAGCTTTAAATTCATGCTTATGACAAGTTTGCCCCGTCCTCAGGCCACAGGATTAATACACGTATTTCATATTATTTTACAAAAGGACTTGAAAGAACTTTCAGACCCCTTTTACGGCATTTAACTATAACACAACGTTTTAGCTTCTCGTTAAAATCGCTTTTGAATAAAGGCCATGATTTTATGTTTGCCTTTGTCCGCTGGCGCGACGGTGGATTACATGACCTTCAATTCATTCCAGAGTATTTCAGGAGCTATAATAACTCTAAATTAGCATCCGTTTGCATATTTCCCGTTCGAAGACTGTTGAATGTGAAATTGTCTTCTTTGCTGTGCATGTGTAAATAATGAAAATGCCGGGTATTGTGCTTACAATGAAACGTGCATTTATTAACTGGAGCTCTACCATCTCTAAAAGATCACTATATTTTCTAATACAGCAGAACAATTTTGCCTGCATTACAAGGTAAAAAAATGGAGGTGCCATGGTCCTCAAAGGCGCAGAACTTTTCTGGAGAGGGGCTTGTGTGCCAGCCTTACAAGACGTTGCACAGTGGCACTCACATTTCCTGCCCAGTTAGCTAGGAGTGGTCGAAGCAGCTTTTTAAAAAAAACATCACAGATCTGGTTCGTGTGCTGAAGGCTGCCCGAACCACACCGTAGTATAGGGCAGGTAACCAAATGTGGAAGGAGGGCTGAGTGAAGAAGTTTACACAGATTTCCACTTCTTCGAACTTCAGTGTCTTTCATCACTTCACTGACAAAGTCACATGCAAGTTTGCAAATTTTAACGATCTCCATGTTGGGATACCGAAGTTGTCCGTTATCGATTTTCTTCACTAAATCGTAGATGCTGCCACACGGTTTCGTCTCTTGCAGGAGAACCTTGCATGATTCACAGGGCAACTGCAAGTAATAAAATCAACCAAGTAAAATTTTCATCAAAAGTACATGCAACAAATATGTAGGTTCCCTTTCTTACTTCGCTTAGCTAAAGAAAAATATTATCTAAATTTTGTAAGAGTGGGAATGAAACAACCTGCGGCAAAAAGAGTGGCATACACGCATATCTGGTGTCGACCCTTACAGTGGTGGCACACCGGCGGGGCGGGACCTGCTTCCTGATTCGGGCCGGAACCCTGGCTCCGGACTGACCTGAGTTTTTCTTCACTCGAGGTCAGCCTGGAACCCTGCCCTTGGTTTTTAGTGTCGAAAGGGAGGGCAAAAGGAGAAAAATATGAGAAAGAGGGAGAACTGCTGGTTCGCTTATTATAGTTAACATTCGAAGAAGGCGAAAGTGAAGTGAACATTGTTTAAGACTGGCTGGTGCGCTAGCGACGCGTTCGAAAGAATGCAGCAAATAATGCAAAGCTTAAAAATAACCATCCTTACCTTCTCCTCACATGCACGCGCGATGTATCCGGCCAGGTATACTAGGGGTGCTAGATCGAGGTCATCCGGCACAGCAAGCCAAGCATTTAATACTTCTAGCTCATAGGAAAGCCGCTTAGCACCGAGGACGACCACAAGTGGCACGGCCGCGGTGTTGCCTTCTCGGGCTTTGAGTTTTAGAGGTGCATTTGTTTCGGAGCTATGGGGAGCGTTTCCACTCTTACCAGTTTGGAGGATTGCAACCTGAGGAAAAAAGTGCGTAGGTTACATGGGTGTGCTCTCCAACGGGCACCAAATATACCTTTAACAACTTTGCTGCTGTAAAGACCGCGGTTCTTGCATCAACTCTATCGTTGCCTCCGTTAAACTGTCGAAAGCAACTGAAGAGAGACTCCACGGGGTCGCTGTTCAAGGCACGGGTCAAGACGTAGCGAAAGCTGGAAAAAAGTTTGTTTGATACCTAAGTCAATACACAAATACGTAACTGCGATAAAAAATATGAAGGTGAAAAAAAGAAAAACCTACTTGTTGTCTAATAGATGTGAAATCAATGTTACAGTTGACCTCGTCGTCATTATCGTTGCCTCGCATGTTTCTTTTGTCATTTTCTTTTTTGTTTTGCCACCAGAAAGCTGAATCTCCTCGATGTACGTGATGAAGTCTACTTCAAGCCACGAAAGACGGTCGTCGTCGATCAAGTAGAATGGTTCTTCCTTTTGACCGCGCGGCTTCACAGCGCCAATATTGTGAAGGTCATACCACTTCGACACCATTTTCATGAAGGTCATGGTGGGCAAACAGTCCTGAAGTTCTGTCGCATCAGGGTGGCATTGCGGGTTTTCATGTAGGAACTCAAGCGTTGCTATTACGACTGGGGAGAAAACTTGCGTAGCCCTTGACACTTTGATCTTTTCCAAGTTCGGTTCAACGTGTGACTGTGTTAGGAACCTCACTGGCTTTGCGAGTAGCTTTGACTGAATGCTGAGTAACTTCTTCAAGTACAGTCCACCTTGAATTAGATTATCTCCGTCCATCATCTCTCTTTCCACAAGAATATTTCTGAGGTCATCACTTCACTGACTTTGTCAGTGAAGTGATGAAAGACACTGAAGTTCGAAGAAGTGGAAATCTGTGTAAACTTCTTCACTCAGCCCTCCTTCCACATTTGGTTACCTGCCCTATACTACGGTGTGGTTCGGGCAGCCTTCAGCACACGAACCAGATCTGTGATGTTTTTTTTTTAAAAAAAGCTGCTTCGACCACTCCTAGCTAACTGGGCAGGAAATGTGAGTGCCAGTGTGCAACGTCTTGTAAGGCTGGCACACAAGCCCCTCTCCAGAAAAGTTCTGCGCCTTTGAGGACCATGGCACCTCCATTTTTTTACCTTGTAATGCAGGCAAAATTGTTCTGCTGTATTAGAAAACATACTGATCTTTTAGAGATGGTAGAGCTCCAGTTAATAAACGCACGTTTCATTGTAAGCACAATACCCGGCATTTTCATTATTTACACATGCACAGCAAAGAAGACAATTTCACATTCAACAGTCTTCGAACGGGAAATATGCAAACGGATGCTAATTTAGAGTTAATATAGCTCCTGAAATACTCTGGAATGAATTGAAGGTCATGTAATCCACCGTCGCGCCAGCGGACAAAGGCAAACATAAAATCATGGCCTTTATTCAAAAGCGATTTTAACGAGAAGCTAAAACGTTGTGTTATAGTTAAATGCCGTAAAAGGGGTCTGAAAGTTCTTTCAAGTCCTTTTGTAAAATAATATGAAATACGTGTATTAATCCTGTGGCCTGAGGACGGGGCAAACTTGTCATAAGCATGAATTTAAAGCTGACTGTCGCAGGGGCGGGATGGCTTAGTCGAGGCCACTCCGTCTCCCTTAGTAGCAATAAACCATTTGTCACAAGGGAATGGTTCCCGTAGTAGGGTGGAACAAAGCACTGAGACGATATCAAATTCAAAGTGTCCGCTTGCAGCACGAAGAGTCGCGAGTTAAAACATCCCGGGAGTTCGCGCGCGCACCGCTACTCCGCCGCTTTTCATTGTCCTTGACCGGTGGCGCCGCGGCGGCAGGCGAATGAACTCGGCCTCTCCCGCTGTTTCGGGCGCACGCAGCAGGCCGCACCCTGTGCGCTTTGATCCAGCGGCCGTGATCCTACTAACTGAGACGTGGTTGCACTCATACATTCAAGATCACGAAATTTCGGATTCGGATCAAAAGACAAAAAAAGAGGATCACCTTGTCGCAATGGATATGGCACTACATACGCAAGCATTCCGTCCTCGGAAAGGCTCTTGAAGAGCGCAACATTTGACTGGTGATCGTCGGTAACAATCCTCGCTACACGGAAACCCACATCTTCGACTGCCTTCATGACATTCATTGTCATAGAACGAAGTTGCTCACTCCTCAGGCACCGGGTAAAGAAGTACCCAACTCTTATTACATAGGCAGTTGATAGCCCTCGCAGGACGAAGCACGACAACCTGTTCGCCACTTCAGGCGTTGGTTGCACATGATTGCTGCTCAGGACCCATGTCAACGAGACCGAAAACCTTATCAAGTTGGCGATCGTACATAACTTTCTGCTGTATTGCCATTTCATCGATGATTAGGGAGCAGAAGATGTCTTGTTCGACTTGTAGCACTTGAAACTCTGCGTGGAGGCGTTCTGTTATGAGTGATTTGACGCCTATTTCGCCTGTTGAGTGCCCGATGTACTTCTGTAGTGTGGCACGACAAGGCAACTTGAACAGGCCTCTTGTTCTCACATACTCGTAACCTTTGTTGGAGCACACTTTCGAGAGGACGCACTCCCTCGGAATTGATTCAGTGTACGCTGGCTTCTTAGAAGCGAAATTTGACACTTGATTCTTGATAAATTCGGCAGTTTTATGGCCTTCGTCTGCGGCTCTTAGTACACTCACAAAACAGGCGATTTCTTTGTTGCTTTCGAAAGCTTGAAGCCGTTCACGAACCGTATCGTGCTGGCTTTGGAGCGTCTGCAGTGACTTATTGAGGCGGGAAATTTTCCGCTGCAGGCGCTTCGTCGTTTTCTTCGCATCCTCTATCATCCGTTTAAGGTCAAGGTCTGTTTTACACATTTTATCTGTACATGAACTGGTTTGGCAAACACTATCAGCAGGCAATGAACAGACCCACGTTCCGTCCGAAGACCCGCTTGGTGCAACATGTTCTTGATCTCCGAAGAGATCAGGCTCGACATCTTCATGCCTGCTTTCATCTGGGCCATTTCGTGCACTCTTTTTCACGCAAGCTGATGAACGACCATCTGGTACTTCTCTTCGAGGCCACTTTCATATCCTTGGAGCCCTTGGCTTTTGCATATAGGACGGGTAATTGGGGAACACCGTCGGGATAGCAGTTGGCAGGAGCATTCGCAGTTTGGTGCCTTTCTTATAGTCATTTTCGGTGAAGTGAAGAAAACAAACCGAAGAGCGGTCACTGGGTACCCACCTCGTTTCTTTTCCGCAAGATCCCTGCCGGGAGATGTTGGTGAGCCATGCTTGTCGTCATTCAGCGCTCGATGGAAATTCATGGTAGCTCAAACCGGGATTTTTCTTTGCGTTCGACCCGCACAGTGGAACACAGCAGTTTTTTGGCATTCTAACTGGCCACTCTAACTACCTAGCTGTACTGTGAGGCAGATTTTATCAAGCTGAACACGACTATATTTGTTTGGAGCATGTAACCTCATTCCGCGGTGAGAAATTGCCGCGAAAATGCCGCGTTCGCCGTAGCGCGCCCGCGCGTCTCTTCGGTGTGTCCCCTACTACTAGCGCCCCCCGCGAAACTTGCGGCCACAACTGTCAACAACGCTCGTCCTCCCTCGCCAATGCGCGGCGGCTCCACGCAGCAGGCCGCACCCTGCGCGCTTTGATCCAGCGGCCGTGGTAGGATGATGTCAGCGTTACAAGTGTCAATGACAGATGTTAAAGCATCCCGTTTGTTATTATTGCTCCGAACATTCGTGAAAAGCACAGGTACATTACACGACTTAGTTCCACTAAGTTCTACGTTTCTACGTTAAAGCACGTGTTTGCGTTGGAAGGGAGAGTACTTGGTCATCTTTTTGCTGTAACTTTAGTTCGTTTATGCTATCAGTGAAAGGATCGTAAGTGTAGTGCTTTTTGTCTATTATAAGCTTGGTATGGTGCAGCTTGAATTGCGGTGATCCGGGTTGGCTTTTGGCAAAGGCCACGAGCTTTCCCCGAGTCGGACGCGTAGCTGGTGAAAAATCTTCGGTGACGGCGACGTTTAGTTCTTTTAATTTTGTACGAGCCGAAATAATTTTGTCTTTTGTTTTGTAGTTTGAAAACTATTCTATAATTCGTCAGGATGTGCTTTCTTTGTAAGCACCTAAGCGATGGGCACTCTCAATGTCGTGATCTTCTAGGTTAATAGCTGCATTAGGCAGCAGTTGGGCTATACGCTGTTCCGATCGTTCCCATGTTTCTTTTGCGTCTGGTGGACCGTTGAAAATTAAGTTATTGCGTCGGGACCGATCCTCAAGTTCGTCTAGAGCTTGTATTCACTCGTGTTGGGTGCCCAGTGTTTCCACTGAAGCTTGGATAGTTGTCATGTCCTGCTCAAGGTTTTCCTTTTTTCTTCAAGTGCGTCTAACCGTTTTTCTATTTAGCCAATCATTTCCTCAATTTTTTTTTCTGACACGTTTTGATTTACGTAAGGTCGGTGGCTAGATCAGCCTGGATTTTTGATGACTCAATGGCGCGCACCTGAATATCTTTGAGGATATTAAAAATGCTTGCATTTGCTCTGAAGGATCGGCCGGCAAGGCCTCAGGAACCAACGAGCTGGTGGAACGAGTGTTAGTTCCAAATTGCTTTCAATACCCCCGGCGCGCAAAAGCAAAAAGAACATTGAAACACAAGCACTCGCGATGTCACAAAGAACTCCGGGGCATGGGAGCAGAAATATGCAACGATTGTTGCTTTTTCTATCGAAGATCGAAAACTCGTTGCGAATCTTTAAGGGGCAAAGGCGCGACATGTCAGATGAGCTGTCGAAGCTGCTCCCATGCCCACTGAAGCGGTTACCACTCTGCCAGGCTCTTAAGTCCAACTCGGCAACCGACGTCACTGATGACATCGATGCGCAGAATGTGGCTGGCGCAAACGCGGGCAGATCCAAGAAGGGAGCGTGTTGTAGATGACTGGCTGGTTGTTGTCCGGCTTCCTCGGTAATCAGTGCTGCTGGCTTGACAGTAGCTTGCACTGGAGGCTATAGCACGCACAGCGAAAGCAAAGCCGGTAACGGGCAAAGGCGCGACATGTCAGATGAGCTGCCGAAGCTGCTCCCATGCCCACAAATTGCAGCATGGTCACTATCCATCTGTATTATCTGCATAAGAAGGATATTCAGCGGATAAAAAGCGTCTAATCATTGCAAAATTTTTTAACGAGAAAGAAGCTGAATCCATTTTGAGCAAGGGCTTTCAAACTGAAAAACACAACACTAAGCGTAGCACGAGAGTATTCTGAGGCAGTGAGCGACAAAAGACGCAAACTACTGCAGTTTTCAAAAAGTTTAAAGAAGGACGGTGACCGTATTCGTCTCGTTTTCAATAGGTTGTTTGTTAACGATCACGTTAACTTGTGGGACACAGAGTCGAACAGTGCTAAACAACTTTCACGTCGCAACAACACTTGATGCAACCCAAATGTCCATCCCCCTGTCTTCTCGTATCACCAACCAGTACCTTTGTATCAGCCATCTGAAGCAAACGAATCATCACCTAGTTCCCTTGATCACGTACAAGGTTTTCATTTTTCCTACAACCAAGCGAGAAGTACCTTCAGTGAACGGAACAAAAAAAGTTCATCCGAAACCTCAGCAGTTAAGGCGTCGACAAATAAGGTATCATGATTAATAACTTTCGCAAATGTGAATGCGCGCAGCATCATGAATAAATTAGATGCTTTAGAATCGTTGGTTATCGGCCTCTCAAACCCGACTTCTTATCCGCTCAAACCCGACTTCTTGGCCGTTACTGAAACGTGGCTAACAAGTGATATCGAAAATGCTGAGCTAACACCCCCCAAACTACGTGATCATACGCAAAGATAGAGCAACACGAGGTGGGGGCGTAGCTGTTTTTATAAGTAAAAGAATCCCCTTCACATTACTTCCAGACGTAGAAGGCGTAGATGCTGTGTTTTGCAAACTTGAATTCACAATCTACGTTATCGTTCTCGGGTGTGCATACCGCGCCCTTTCATCAAATCTTGAGTGCATGGATGCCCTGTGCACGTATATGCGGCGTCACGCATCTAATGCCAGAGTTATTGTAATGGGGAACTTTAATCTGCCTGACTTCAACTGGGAATCAATGGAGTACCACAGCGCCTGCTCAGAAATAATTTACGATTTAATTTTTCTTTTTCAACCTTTCACATATAGTGACGCAGCCTACGCGTGTACAGGGACACAGCTCGAGTGTGCTGGACTTAATCTTTCTCACTGATAACTTTCCGGTACATGAAGCAACGATAGAACTTCCAGACGGCATTTCAGACCATAAAATAGCTTATTGTAGGATACCTATAAAGGACAGTAAAACGCCTGCATACACAGAGGAAACCTTTCCAGACTTTTGTAATGCCGATGACGTAGCAATACATAACTTACTGTTCGACAAATTTCCATCATTTCAAGATTTAGCCTCAGACTTCACCGTGACTATAGAAGTGTTGTGGCATAAATTCAAAGAAATTGTTCTTTTTTGCTTACAAAACCACGTTCCTTCGAAGAAAAAGAAGACCAGAAAGATGAATCCATGGGTCACACGTGTCGTTATACATGCTAAAAGAAAGGTGAAGCGTTTGAGGAAAAATCTAAAACAGAAACCAAATATTCATAGCCAACAAAATCTAAGCGCAGGTATAACTGACATGAAAAATAAAATAAAGGCGGCCAAGTCTACTTATTTTGAAAAACTCTACCTCGATTCATAAAAGTTCCCCGACAAAATTTTGGCAATACATGAATCCCAAAGTCTGTAAAATGACCCACGAAACGCCTGAAGAAAATGTCTATTCCACAAACGTATTAAATAGCTATTTCCAATCAATTTTTACAGTTAACGACGGAAAACAGCCTCACACAGAAATTAGAGACGAGAACTCTATTAGGCGATTATTCGTTTCAGAAGACCGAGTTTTCAACTTAATATTGAAGTTGGATGGCAAAAATAGTTCTGGACCAGACAAGATACCTAACGCGCTTTTAAAAAGATATGCCGAATGGATAACAAAATACCTGTGCCTGCTTTTTAACCAATCATTGTCGTCGCGTACCCTACCAAAGGATTGTAAAATAGCGAAAGTGATTCCTATACATACGTCCGGAAATAAAAACGAACCTTCCAATTATCAGCCCATCTCATTAACATGTTTGGTTGGTAAACTGCTCGAACGCATAATCTTGAAGCACATAACGAAACACCTAGAAGAACACAAAACACTGTCCCTTTTTCAACACGTCTTCCACCAGGGCATGTATACTGTAACACAACTCATTGAAATGGTCCATGACGCCTCATTAAGCATCGATGGCCAAA